CCGAACTGTTTCGGTTTTGGATGTCGACGGACGCCGTGAGAATGAAATGCACGGTACTGTTAATCACTCAATTACACAAATATTTTCTCCTTATAAGCAGTCTTGACGGTGCAACGTTTAATTTACAATAACCTCCACCTATGATTCTTAGTATATACAATATTAAGTTAGCGATTCTCGGGGACGAAAAATTTGAAAAAGTCGCTGATTTTCGGCAGGTATCTAGGAAGTCAGGATGAAAGGAGCAGTAGAAATAAAAACAAAGGATAGCACAGGATCGTGCTACCATTAATAAAAAGAAGTCACTTCTATGCTCGCGAACAGTTAATATAGGAATCCAAAAAAGGTGTATGCCTCAATCGTGGCGCTGTATGGATGCGAAACGTGAGCGAGGAAGAAAAAAAGGTTCGAAATGTGGTGTTACAGACGAAAGATGAGGAAACAAGAGAAGATTAGAAATAAGGAGGTATTAGAAAAAGTAGGTGAACATAGGGTGTTATTGAAATCAATAAGAAATAGGCGAGATAGGTTGATAGAGGTCACTTTCTGTAGCATGAAGGGCTAGTTAGAGACATATTAGAAACAGAAACAGGAGCCAACAGGAGTCGAGGTAAACCTAGATTAGATTCATAAATAGTTACGGATGTGGAATGTTTTAGTTTTAGTTCAGGACAGGAAAAAGTAGATGTATCTACGTGTCCAACTAACCAATCTTAAGGGACTGGCGACTTTAAGATTCTCGCCGTATTATGAAAAAAAAGGAAGGGTGGCGATAAGGTCCTTTATTGGCTCAACAACTAGTGTTTTATATTACGAGGAAATCTAAAAAAATAATTCTTTTAATAAATATAATAAACTTTAACGATACGGCCAATATAAATTCAAATCAATTTGCCCCCTTACCTTAGAAAAATGAAATTTTTTGTAGTTGTTTCAGAAGGGAATACTACAAAAACTCGTACGTATGAAGTATATTATGAACATAAAGTCTTTAACGTACCTATATAAGAATCACAGTGGTAGTCGCTTGTGCTCTTAGCGAAAAACAAACTTTTATGAAATTGAATTGTGTTTAAATAAAAGTTTGTTACATATTATTCTATATGTTAAGGATTTTATGTTTCTACATTACATACGTAAAAGTTTTTATAGTACTTCCTTGTGCTCGATACAAAACAACCAACTGAAACAACAAAAAATGTCAATTTTTAGGTATTTCAGTGAAAGGAAAAGAAATTTATCTAAGGTAGGAGGTAAATTCGTTATACCTATGTGTATTGCCTATCATAAATGTTAAAGTTTGTTAGAAGAGAACTTTTTTAGATTTTCTCTTATTTATAAGGAAAACCAGTTGTTAGGGCAAATAAAGGGCCTGATCGCCACCCCTCCTTTGGATTTACAGTCGAATTCATATAACTCGAAATCTATTCTAACTCGAATTTGTTTTTGTTCTTTTGACTCACTAAATGTTTTACATTAATTCAAACTCTTTAACTCGAATTTCTCCATTTCTTTATCTCGAAAATTTTTCTAACTCGAAATTCGAATGCAAATTTTAGTTTTGTTTTTTTTTTTTCTTTAACTCGAATTTTCTCTAATTCGAACATAATTGGCTGCATTTTACGAAGTCCGAGTTAGGGAAATTTTATATTCACATATAGATACGGAAATCTTATAAAACTAAATATTAACTTAAATTTAAAAAAATATACACAGAAAAGCATACTTTTATAAATATGTTATCCCTTACACCAATAACTCCATTTGAAAACTAAAAATATTGAAAACGCTAAAAGTAAATTAGCATGTCAGGTATTATAATANGAAAAAAAACGTGGTATAAGAAAACGCAACTGACATGGAATGACAAAACGCAACAGCATAAACGAAAAATTTATCAGTCAAAACATGGACATTACATAAAATTAAAATGTTGTAAGGGTGAATTGGGAGTTAAAAGGTTTATGGAGAAACAATATTAATTTCTGCGAGCGAAGCCGCTGGAAAAAGCTAGTAAATAATAAAAAAATGTTGTATAAAGGGAATTAATAAACCATTTGAAACGCTATAAGTTATAACATCTCATTATAAGATTATAACGTATTTTTTAATATACACTAATTTAAAAGATGTTTCTCAAAAAAGCTCACCAATGACAGATTCAAATTTGTTAACAATAAATATCAGCTTTCAAATATAAAAAAGTTGTAGTGAAACTGGGTCATCCTCTTGAGCTACACAGTTAATTGCATTGAATTTATGACACCCTCTTTCCGTGATTGTTGTTTCATTTTTTTAGGCGACACACATGTTACGAGTTAGCCATATTATCGGTTTAAGATATTTTTCATTACATCCCACATTGTTCCTGCTATTTTTTGACGGCATAAAAACTTGTATAGCTTTGGATAGTGGAGGAAATCCAACAATAATCAAAGTACCTACCTACTGCACATTTTTGTTATCTTTTAACTGATTATAAAGGACTGAGATGTTTATTATATTAACTGATGATAATGATCAAAATTTGTCTTTGTCGGTTAGTTATAAGAATATTGGATTTATTTCAAATTTTACTGATAATTCGTTTTCTTTGCGTAACTATATACCTGCTTTATGTAGGTAGATACTCTGATATGATGGTCTTAATCATCAATTAACATGAAATTGTATTTTTTCTAGGGGTTAGGTAATAAAAAAGTTAATTACAATGCAAAAGTTGGTAACATAATATTTGTCCCGTCTGGTCACGTGCTACAAAAATTGAGTAGAATCGTATACAGATGTAATAGAGTTCTATAGATATATAGTATCGAATACTATATTTTGTAGAAATTGCATGAATTATGCCCAAACGATACCTACACGACTGGTATTTAATTAAAGACATAACACGGAGAAAATGAAAAAGGAAAATTTAAAGCGATATTTACAATTTATCCCACTAGCCCGTTACTTAATAAGCGAAAATAATAAAAATTACAATTTGGACTCGAATTTGTAAAAATAAAATCCCAGCCGAAGTAAATTTTACTAGGTATTTTAGTTGATATTACAAATTTAATTGTAATAATTAAGAAACTTGAAATAATTTTTAAAAGAACATGTCAAAATTGAAACTACTTATTAGTTACCTAATAAATTCTACTATTTCTACGGCAAATTCAGTCATTTACAATCAAAAATTTATTTGTCATAAAAATTTAGTTTTCTCCATGAAAATGGGAAGAGTTTTAGTCATTTTTAGTGATGAGCAAAAATGGTATTGGTATTGCCGTTTTGTCCAGTCTTGTGCAAAGAGCTAAGACCAAAATTAAGACCAAGACTTACCATTGTAAACACGACCAAGATCAAGAGCAACACTTATTAGCAAGATTTTCTTCTCTCTTCTTACCTAAATTTCAATATACAGCTACAAAATGAAATGAAATAACTGAATAAAAATTACTTAATAATATTTATGCTGCCTTTTGTTGCAACAATTCTTTTGTAAAACAGAATTAAATAAGACCAGTTTGAAAAATGCCTTGAAATAAAGACAAAGAACTATTAAAACATGCATATTGAATTTGTTAGCAATATATAGGGTATTCCAAAAGTTCTAATTTTTGCGAAATCTAGCATTTGTTGAATAATCCGTTTATGTATACCTATTTATCATGCTTAAAATGTCCTGAAAATTTTAGGAACTCAACCTTACTATGAGATACATGGAGTGCTTCAAAATTATCTAATTTGATCGCTTAATATTAAAAAATGTTATGTTCATTTTTGCCACTTTCTCCTTGAAATATAAAGATAACCAAAGAAGTTAAAATTTCTCAATATTAAGTATAGATACATTTAAAATTGAAAAGTTACGAATGGAATATGTTATATAGTATAATATCCAGGTAATTTTAATTTTTCCAATAAACTGTTACGATAGATTCTACAAAAATAAATAGCGATCTACCAAGGACAAGACCAAGACGGAGACATACTGTCGTGAAGCAAGAACAAAACCAACAGATCGTTAATACTAAATGCTACACCAAAACAAAGACTATAAATATTAGTCTTATCTTGGGTCTTGCGTTTACTCATGAGACATCGATAGTCATTTTAGCCCGTTTTTATAGGGCCATAAAGCTTGTGTGGCAGTGGTCTTAAAATTGCACTATTTTTTAGTCTTAGGCTAATAAAAGATAAACACACTATTTGTTATACAAACCAATTCTGAGTAATCATATAGTCATCAAAAAGCTTCTGTAACAGTTAAATAAATTGTACCTCATTTATACTACTTTTGATGGATGAGATAAGAAAATTCAAAATTAGATTTACTAAAAACTAGAGGATTGTTACCAAAAATTTATTTCATTGTTACTTGCCATTTGTTTAGGGCTATTGCTATTTTTGTTAAGAATTTTGTATTCATAAAAGCGGATGCTTTTTTAAATTGCGTAAAGATTTTACGATTTCTATTTCAATATCGCGATTATTTAGTTAAATTTAAATATCGAAAGAATAACGATTTAAATTAAGGACACAATTTTCAAACATATTTATCCGAATAATACTTAAGTCCTTACAGGTGTTAAATCACTTAAACGTCCTGTTGGCTATTATTAGAAAATAGCACCTAAAAGTGATGACGATTAGTCATGAGGACAGTTCTTGAAAAAAATTGACACGATACTATCAATTAAATTCATTAAAAGGCAGTCGTAGTGAACGAACAAATAATAGACTGATAAAACTTTTTCAAACTGACGCCTTATTACAGTATGCTCTGATAAATCGTGAGCTTCGTACGTACGTACACTTTTCCCGAGCGAAAAAAAACTGCGGTTGCCTCACCTGCGAAGGTACTCTATTGGACGTTTCACACCCAGCTCTCCGATGCATTATCATTATTGGTCTGAAGCTTGAAGAAGGCATTTACCTAAGTTCCCGCTCCTGCCACCAGAGGAGCTTTCAGACGAACGTGATCTGTGTAACCCAAGCTTTCAGTTTCAAATAGATCGTCGTAGTTGTTGTGGTGTAATGTTCACGTTACGTCACGAGCAAAAATGAACCGTTCAGTTCGGCTGTAATGCAATGCACCTGACTAGAAAGTGAAAGTGAACGACTGAAGCTCAGCACATTATTCTTTTTTTTTTTTTTTAATTGTTGAGTGATTTTAACGCGCGATCTAGGAACAAGACTGACCCGAAATGTGAAGTTTTTCACGCGCATTTCCAAACGCTTCACTTAAAATTAGTTGAACATGTGAAATAATTTTTGGATTAACTCTTGTGTTCTTATTGTTGTACCGCTCAATCGTCGATAGGTAATTAATATTCAATTACTGAGTGACTGAAAACAGGAAACGGTTTTTATGGTGCGTTAGCTTTCGTGCAATAAGTTAGTACCGTCGGGTACTAGAAATGGTTACACTTATGCCGTGCAATTATCTGAACTCTCAAACAAGATGTACTATAATCGACAAAATGTGCGAACCAAAGGTACTTTTGCTTTTTTAGGTTTAGCTTCATATTACATGTGCCCTAAATTTTGGTGTCGATATCTATAGATCGATATATATCATTTTTAAAGCGGATGATGAACAGATCAGTAGGTACGATTTTTTCTTTCTTTGGGATGTAGGGTTCTTACTAAATAATAGTTTTAAAATTTTCTTACAAAAGTAATTAAGAAATTACGATCAGTAAAACAAACAGGTATCACAGGTACAACGTACTAAGGAGGCAGAATGAAAATTATTATTTGACTTTAACGAAATGCAAATTAATTCTTCATTATCATCGTATGGTCTTCAACACGCAGATTGGTTGGACACGCACCTCCACTTCTTCCTCTCCGCATTTCTGGAAAACATCTGCCTCTACCCCTCTTGACTCCTGTTTCTGCAAATTAATTAATCGGATAAAAATTATACCTACTCGGTCAAATTCGTATTTATTTAAATGTTTTCCAACATTTCGTCCATTAAAATTTTTTTACAATACCTACAAAGAACGCAAAATTTCATACCTAAAGTAATTTACCTAGCCTGTGCGTTGTGAAAGTGTTAGGTAAAATCCATTAAAATGGTATAAAATAATGGAATTTGGAGACAGGTTATTCCGAAGATTCTGATTTGTAAATAAATTTGAGAAAACTGAATTGTTAACAAATAAATTACATAATAGGTACTGTTATTTATTAAATGATTGAATACAATTACTTGAAAAATGTTCATGAATGAGCAAATGGGTGATTTATGGTATTGTATCAAGCACAGATCTTTGTGGCTGCTGTCGATCGAAAAAAGTTATCTACATTTGGTACAGGGGAAAATCATTTGACAATTTAGCTAATATAAAAATAGGAGACGAAAAATGAGGACTCCCCGATTTAGGAGACAAAAACCGAGAAGTCTCCGATTTTCTATGTTTAAGGAGTCAGATACGTCAGGATGAAAAAGCGCTGGAGATATCAAACAAAGATTAGGTCGAGGTCGGGTCGCTTTTAACAAAAACTTTTATGCTTGCATTCGATTAATTTAGAAATTAGAAAAATATTAAAATTTCATACTTGACTTTTTGATAACAATTTCGTGTGTGAAACGTAGACAAAAGGCGCTGTGGAAAATAAATAGTACAAAAAAAAAAATTTTTTAGATGTGTTTACAGGCGTATGCTTAAATTCTCTAGATATAAAAGCTAAAAAATGAGGAGGTCTTGCTAGATTGAGTACGAGATCACAAGAAACTCGTGAAAGTCAATAAGAAATAGGCGAGATAGATTGGTGGGACGTCTTCTTAGATATGAAGGGCTACTAGGAGATATAACTAAAAGCAGAAGCAGGAATTAAGAGGGACAAAGGTGGATCCAGATTAGATTAGATTAGGTACTGTTCGCAAATAGTATTAATTGTCGAAAAAGAAAGTGGAGATGCGTGTCCAGCCAGTATTTGGACTGAAAATTTTACCTTGATGATAACTCAGAGTGACTTAATTACAATACTTTTAAACTGTTGTATTCTGTTTTATTAACTGGTCGTGAAATTCATTATTTTTTTCGTGACGTTTGGAAAATATCCAGAAACACAAAGTAGTTTTTGACCTGCTCGCATTTCAATCGTATGCATAATACCTTTAATGTGGTCATTATTTATCAGTTTAACATTAAAAAATGTCAAATATTTAAATTTCACGTACCTTTTATTTGACGTGTATCAATTAATTTATTAATTATGCACATTTGTGTACTTGTTGTTTGGTGATTACACTTTTTTTAATGCATGCATGCATAATACTCAACTTGTAATTATTTCTGATTAAGTTGTGTGAATAATATGAGCAAAACATTAAATCACTACTGCATTCGTGCAAGAAACTTTTGCTATTGAGCGACGGAAGAGCTTTCATGTTTGATTTTCTTTCATTGTATCAAATCATAAGCTCTCCCTCTAAAAAATAAACTTCCGATGCATTATCATTATTGGTCTGAAGCTTGAAGAAGGCATTTACCTAAGTTCCCGCTCCTGCCACCAGAGGAGCTTTCAGACGAACGTGATCTGTGTAACCCAAGCTTTCAGTTTCAAATAGATCGTCGTAGTTGTTGTGGTGTAATGTTCACGTTACGTCACGAGCAAAAATGAACCGTTCAGTTCGGCTGTAATGCAATGCACCTGACTAGAAAGTGAAAGTGAACGACTGAAGCTCAGCACATTATTCTTTTTTTTTTTTTTTATTGTTGAGTGATTTTAACGCGCGATCTAGGAACAAGACTGACCCGAAATGTGAAGTTTTTCACGCGCATTTCCAAACGCATCACTTAAAATTAGTTGAACATGTGAAATAATTTTTGGATTAACTCTTGTGNAATCATCAACAAAAAGTATACATTTTTGTCATGAAATATAAAAGAAACTGATAAATTATTAGAATTAATAAGTATTTGAAAATTATTTGTTTTTCTCAAACGTCATCAAATTGGATTGCTTGTTGTTAAACGGTAAAACTGTTAATGGTCAGTAGGCTGCTGATGAGAATTGCATATATAAAAAGGAAAACTTTACCTTAAAAATAGCACTACCCCAAAGTCGTGTAATCAAAGTGATAATCTCGATTTAATCTATGTAGAAAACTTCCACAAATCCTATTGAAGAGCAGTTTTATCGTAATATTGTTAATAAGAGAGTTATATAAGTAACAATTAATTATTTAGATATATAAAACTGCGGCAATATGTTACATTACGTTATTTATCAGGTCCATCAACCAATGGGCCCTTCAATATAATTACATCTTTATTCAGTACTGTTTATTATATAGAAAATGCTTCTTTAATCAGGGGTTGTTTAATCATTTTACATGTATCTTTTGGCCCAAAAATGTGTTGTAGATTTCTCTATTTTTTCACATCTTGTTTTGCGTCCTACAACGCGAAATTGCGGCAACAATAAAAAAAAACATAAAGGCTTTCGCGTTCTCATTATTATCGTAAGGTAGTCAGTCCTGAAACTGGTTGGACACGTACCTCCATTCTTTCCTATTCTGAACTAATCTTTACATTTCCTTAAAACTAGAACATCTCACATCTCTCTTAACTATTTGTGAACAATAATCTAATCTGGTTCTACCTGTTCTCCTCATCTTACCTCTTGTTTCTGCTTCTAATATGCTTCTAAAAATCGTAAGTCTAAGCATGCTAATCTTTTGTCTCTATATATCTATGCCTAATGTTGTCCTATCTTTAATGGTGTTTATTGCGTTTTAGATATATATATATTAAAAAGTAGCGGGTGTTATAAATACTTGCAATGCGAAATGTTAATTTTAACCCTCTTGGAGGTTAAATTATATTAATTGCGAAGGTTATTCGGATTTGAAATTGAATCGGGGTAACCTTACCTTCAAAAAGTGAAAACAAAACTTTCCTTCATTTTAGTATTACAACTAAATGAAGATCTTCGTGTTTTCTATGGTACAATTTGGTTTTCTTAATGCAATTACTTTATTTTGATGTACACAGAGGTTAAATTAAGTTAAGGATTTGACTTTAGGCCTTAGAATNGTTTTATTTATATTTATTTTCATACAGTACTGATCTGTTAGTACCGCTTCCATTTCATTTAATGCTATCTCTAAGTTCTCCTTGCTAAATGCTGATACTTAGGGATCATTTAATTGTCCGTGTGATTGTTTTTCATTTCTGTTCCTATAATTCTTTGTGCCTGATGAATATTCCTCACTGTGAACAGCCGAGAAATATTTTAAAAGTAAAATGCTTTTCAGTTAGTTACATCTTTAACCCTCTTGGAGGTTAAATTATATTAATTGCGAAGGTTATTCGGATTTGAAATTGAATCGGGGTAACCTTACCTTCAAAAAGTGAAAACAAAACTTTCCTTCATTTTAGTATTACAACTAAATGAAGATCTTCGTGTTTTCTATGGTACAATTTGGTTTTCTTAATGCAATTACTTTATTTTGATGTACACAGAGGTTAAATTAAGTTAAGGATTTGACTTTAGGCCTTAGAATTATTTGTAATTTATATGAATTCTAAATCAATTTTTGTGCACTCTGAGAGTAGTTCCATAGTGTTATAGAGTCACATGAAGATCCAACTGATTTCAGCAGTCCTCAAAGGTATTATATGGTGTTTCGAACTGCCTCTGAGATCATCATGCGTTCTGCTTTTGTTGCAGATGGTGTAGCTGTGTGTTCCCGTAGGAAAAATTTCCATTCTATTTCCATTAAAAAATGCGATTTAATTACCACTTATAATAATTAATTGCAATAAATGGAGAACTGCCAATGGGATGAATGGAATTTCCACTAGAATTCTCGAACTAAATGGGACTTCCATTGCTGAACGCAATGGGATTTCCCTTGCGTTCCATTGGAACTTCCATTTCTGAACCCTAGTGTCAATTCTTAATTTTTTACTTTTAATTATTGCTAGTGGTAATTAAATGAAATTCTTTTTAATCAAGATGAAATATGAGGAAAATATTAATTACATGACAATTATTATTCTAAATAATGTTTTTTTATTATTTAATAATTATTTTTACAACTTGCTGTGACAATCAGCACGTTTTTCTCCATTTTTTTGGTAAATTTTAATCATCTCAAACCAGATCTCCATTTTTAGGTACCCAATTTTTTTTCCATTTAATGGTTTTAAATAGAATTTATAAATTTTGCATTGGTTCCCATTGAAAATCAATGGAAATTTTTCCTATGTAAATATTAATAGAATTATTGTAAATGGAAACAATTATTTTTTCATTTATGCCAAATGGTTTTGAATGGAATTTACAAATTTTCCATTTATTCCCACTGAAGTTCAGTGGAAATTTTTCCTACGGGTTACTTGCAGGGTCTTCCAACTAATCGGTCCAGAAGCTAATATAAATACGTAATCCGTAAATGATCGATGATCAATAAGTTGCTGGCTCAATCGGCATCTAACCTGCTATTTAATAGGAATTGCGTCTTCTTGTATCTTTCCTAGATACCTTTCTGCTAAATCTATAATTCTTTTCTCGTTTATTACCGTTGTTTGACTTCTAATTGATTTTCCCTCAATTATCTTCTCAGTTTCACTCAGCAGACTTGGCGTCTCCATATGTATATATTTCTTCTTCAAAATGCTTATTTAAATAGGCACTAACAACGGCTTCCTCCCTCTTAAAAGTTACAATCAGATCGAGGTCAGTAATCTTGGAGGCAGATATTGGGTTAATATCAATATGATAAATATTGTTGAATCTGTAGCTCTTTGGTTTATTTCCTCATGTTTCACTATTGACTTCTTATACTTATGTAATTTTAGTTGTGTCTTTATTGGCTACGTTGAGAGGTTTGTCATTTTCGGAATAGGATTTGAAGAGATTTTTGGATGTTACCTCTTGTGTGATGAAACTCCGCTATCGAAACACCATTTGCCTTTTGTATTTCGAGAATTTTCTGCTAGGAAAGCTACCTTTTCCTTTATTACAGCTTGGGGGCAAATCTGTAAAACAACCACGAGCAAAATGACCGGCGCGATTACATCTAAAACATATACATATTTGGTTGTCCTGACACGTCTAATTTATTCTTTTTTGCCGACCATTTTAGCTTTGATCTATTTTTTTTTTGTTATTGTTCTGAGCTAATCGTGATTCCTTTTTTTGGGAACATAATCTCTCATCATTTTTTCTTCATATTTGTTAATCCGAAGTCTTCCAAAAACTTTTTTTCTTTATTTTACTTCATGTGGTGGAATGTCATTCCGGGTGGTGATAGCTCGTCACAAAACTTCATAAGATATCGGTAAACTGCAATGCAACTGTATGATGAGTTGCAATTTTCTTCAATAATAGAATTTTGTGGATTGGCCCTTGTGACTGTAGAACAATAAGTTTTGAATAAATGCCATCATCATAAGGTCGTCAGTCCTAAGACTGGTTGGACACCTACCTCCACTCTTTCCTATCCTGAGTTAATCTACGCATTTCCCTAAACTAGAACAACCCACATCCTTAACTATTTGCGAACAGTAATCTAACCTAGGTCTACCTCTACCCCTCTTAACTCCTGTCTCTGCTTCTAATATATCTCTAACTAGACCTTCATATCTGAGAAAGTGTCCTACCAACCTATCTCGACTATTTTTTATTGACTTCCATAGAGTCCTCTGTTCTCAGATTCTTTCTAATATCTCTTCATTTCTAACCTTTTCTACCCACGTTATCCTCATCATTCGCCTATAACACCACATTTCGAAGGCTTCTAACGTTTTCTTTTCCGCCGCGCCCACTGTCCATGTTTCGCACCCGTACAACGCCGCGCTCCAAACATACACCTTTAACAACCTTTTTCGAATTTCTAAATTAACCGTTCGCGAGCATAGAAGTGACTTTTCTTTATTAAAGGCGACTCGACCCTGCGCTATCCTCTGCTTTATATCCCTACTCCTCCTTCCGTCCTGACTTATCTGACTTCCTAGATATCTAAAATCAGCCACTACTTCTGATTTTTCGTCTCCTATCTTTATATTCGCTTTTTCCCTATTTTTTCTTCCCTTGCATACCAGTATTTTAGTTTTATTTTTATTTATTTTCATACAGTACTGATCTGTTAGTACCGCTTCCATTTCATTTAATGCTATCTCTAAGTTCTCCTTGCTAAATGCTGATACTTAGGGATCATTTAATTGTCCGTGTGATTGTTTTTCATTTCTGTTCCTATAATTCTTTGTGCCTGATGAATATTCCTCACTGTGAACAGCCGAGAAATATTTTAAAAGTAAAATGCTTTTCAGTTAGTTACATCTATTTCTTGTTTGTTTTGATTTTTTTTTTATTTTTTCTTTATAATTGTCTTACAGATATTAAGAATTCCCTAAATTTTGGATAGAATTGAATAAAAAGTCCTTTTTCCCTATAATCTGGCTCTAGATTCCCTAGACATAGGAAAATTCCCCTAATATATGGCTGGTATCTGTGGATTGCATCTTCTTTAATCATTTTAAGGAAACAGCTTGCAAATGTGTTCTTCTTTTAAAGTTTTCAGATGACTTTGGTGCCTCAAAATTAAAAATAGTTTAATTTTATTTTATGTGTCTGATTCTGTCTAATATTATTTCCTCGAAAACCCTTTTTGCTTATTGTGTTGTGGATGAATTAGTATGTATTACGGAGTAATTTCGAAGATGATACGATTTCATTCCTTATAAATTTTTATGGAGACATTCTCCTTTTTGATTTTTAATCCGTTTAAGTACATAATTGTCTATCATCAGGTAAACAAAAGTAACAATTTAGCCATCTAGATATACATTTTATACAATATCTCTTATTTAAGCCAATTAATGAAGATTGAATTAACTGATGTGAAATGTCATGAAATAAGGTTGTGGAACACGAATTACTTTTTTACATTGGTAGTAGAAAAGAACCCTTGCATGTAATCTATCAAAAGTGAGAGGCGTCATATCAAGTCAATGTTGACAAACCCTCTTTAAATACAAAAATTATAAGAAAAAGTAAAATTTGGTAAATTTAACGCCTAACTTCGTCATTTTAATAAATACTACTAAGTCTACCAAACCATACTAAGTCTACCAAATCAATCTACAGATTAATTACTTATTTTATCAGCTACCACGTTTTTTAATATTGTTCACCAAAACAATTTTCATAGTAAATGTTGCTTAAATTCCAAGTCAACTAAAACTATCTTAGTTATTTAACGGAACTTTCTGGATTTGTAATAGTATTGAAAAATGGAAACACTTCAAGAAAAATATATTAAGAATTTATTTTAGTTAAGTATACAAAAATGAAAATTATGTAGACACAAAATATAGCTAATGCTGTGGAACATAACCAAATAAACATTTAAAATCCAAAATTCCACAAAATTTTTAGAATCCTAAAACGCTTTTCGACATCCAGTCTAATTTAAGATTAGATTGTTTTTTAAACAATATTTAAAGCACGTTTTTTAAAACACTTGAACATGCCAACCCTGATGGGCGTCTATTCCTTATAAAGGACATGTATAATAATAGCTTACCAAAAGTAGGCGTGATATGAAAATAGTCTGTCAATTAAGTCTTGGACTATTAAGCAATGAAAGAAGATTAATTGTGATGCAGCGAAAATGTGTGTTACCATATGTACACGTGTTTGCGTGTAATTTTATGTGGTTAGACTCTGACTGACTTGCATACCAATTCAGCGGATTATCTACAACATGTGTCTTTAATAAATTAATCGTCTGAAATATGAGTTCGATTTAAAAGTAGATTTCCTATTATCTACGCAGTACCTGTTTTGCTTGTAAAATAGTTTCGAGAAGCATTAGACACATAATTAAAATAAAACAAAATAAAATGGTTTGTAAATAAGAAAATTGATTACTGAAAACGAAGGGTGAAATAAAACATTGTTTTAAGAGCATGCCAGCTTGGATTGTAGTTGTCTGAATGCTACAAACACAAAAGGGGTTTGAGTAGTACTTTGACCCGTACCCGTCTATTTCTTCAGTTTAATTTTTCCGGCTTTTCTTTTGCGGCATTCAGAAATTGGATACGCCATAGGTTAGATTACTATAGGAAAAATTTTCACTTCTTTATTTATTGTCATTTATTTAATATTTTTGAGTAAGCACAACGTTAATTGAAATCATTAAAGATAGGAGATAATAAAATAATTCTGAGTTTATTTTTTATGTCTTATGTAAAACATTTCACAAAATAGTACACAAACAGAAACAATAACACATAAAACAGATATAGATACATATATGTATGTCTATACACCCACTTTATATTGAATGAATTACTACAAGCAGCGTAGTGGATGCCATCTGTTTTTTATTCTGTTTGATTACGTGCCTATAAAGTAGTTCGACGAATCGCTCTTCTTATGGTCCTTATGGACTTAACCAAACATTTTTGAATCTCACGCTGTAGAGTTGGTATTCTGTTGGAATTGTCTATGGCGTGCTGACGAAATCGAATGAGATCGAAATCAAGATCCACGTCTGACAATCTATCTTGAATTTTTTAGTTTTTATATTGAATGATAAAAAGAAACATCAATACCAACAATTTACTTAAGTGAAAAGATTTATTTTTACTTCTAAAATTCGAGATCAATAAGTTATATCTTTTGATCTTATTCTAGAAGATGCTTTTAATTGTGTTTTCGACATATAACTAACTTATTATTGTTGAATTTGAAAAATATTAAATACGAACCTATTGGCATTTCTTTTGGCATTACACATGCCAAAAATAATTGATTGCAAGTATCTATTGAGATCGTTTTGTTGTGGTTCATGGAGTTTTTGGCCACCAAAATTTTTTTCGGCAGTGTTGACTTTGGTTGACTATGTTACTATAGTTAGCTCTTACAATGGAATATACCATACCACAATACCCCAAAAAAACAAGTTTGCAACCAGTTAAAACCGGCTGGAAAAGCTTAACAATGTCAGTAAGCCAAAAACGTTAAGTAATTTTCACTTGACTTTTGTATTCTGGTGTTATAATACTAACACAGTGTAATGAGAAATGTTGTACTTTTGGTTTTAAAAATATGACGGTTTTGGTAAAAATATGTGAAAGTTTGTCTTTGTTCGTAAAACAATTTTCTACCTTCATTGAAATCATATTTAACTATCGTTTTGTTTGAACATACAGCATTATTAGTGTTGGCTGTGTGAAATCAGTTTTCTATTAACGTTTAATTAGATCACACTCTGTATATTATATACGTATTACATACATAAGATGCTGAACAAAAATTTCTTATTTATTTAGGTGAAAAGGGTTCGAACAGATGCCAGCTACAGTCCAGTTGAAAAAGATCGGTAAGTCCTTTATTTTTATTTTTTCAATCGCAACCTTTATCTATAATAGTTCACGTATGTACCACTAGAGTGGTCGTTAATAAGGGTATTTTTGAATTTTTATGCTCCGAGGGGCTTTAAAATTGATGAAAGAATCTCTGAAAATTTGAGCTTTTAATATTAACTCTAAGATAGTCCGCTTTCCGACCAAGATTTCCTATGAAAATAACATGTGAAAAACTTCTTTTGTTATATAAAATTTTATGACTTGGGTACGAATGAATGTACAATAATGTAACAAATATTTTTTATAAAATTTAAGGTTCTACAAAAAAGGTTCTCTAAAAATAGTTGCTAAGTCTACTGATTAGGAAGTTATTCTAGATCAAACTTTAACTCATATGAAATTATCAATATTATTAACTATACACTGTGTTTTATATTTTTTATATTAGGTTGTACTGTTCAAGGTGATTGTTAAGATTTTTTGGTAATGTAACCAAAACCTATTCTTGTTCGATCAAAAAGATTTGAAGTTTCATCATGTTTTAGAGTAGAAAATGTGTATGTATTGGTCACGAATCCAAAGAAATCACAATGATCACATGGACTATCTTGAATAAGACAAGTAATATAAATATATTTCATTATGCAACTGTTTATTTTGAAAATATAGATAATAATATTGATAACTAGCTGACCCAGCAGACTTCGTACTGCCTCAATCAATAAATAAAAGACCTAAACTTTTGTATAAAATAAACTTCAAACAAACAAAAAGAATCCATAATTAATAAAAAAAAATTATTTGTGTCAAATAGTCTGAAAGATTTATAAAATACCACAAATGGCGCGGTAAACGCCATCTGTACTACGATGCTACATTTTAGGATTACGTATGCTCCAACAAGGTCCATTTAAATAGATGGATATCTACTTGCTGAAACGAATCCCGGCGTAGCTAACCTCAACGTGATAGCACGTTTCCATAATCGAATAAAATAATTCGAAGTGGTCTGTATTCTGTCTATGGTGGTCTGTATTACAGATGGCGTTTACCGCGCCATTTGTGGTATTTTCTAAAACGCACTGTTAAGACAGCAGGTAAAAGTTGGTCTGTGTTCTGTCGGAGCTGTCTGCGACGCGCTGATGAGATCCAAAAATATCGAAATCGCGATCCGCATGTGGCAGTTTCGACAGAATACAGACCACTTCGAATTATTTTAGTCTGAAAGATTGTTAACAACTTTCATATTTATTCACCTTTTAAACCCTCTCATGACTGCCATAAATAGTTCAAGACCAAAATTAGCCAAATCGGTTAATCCGTTCTCGAGTTTTAGCGAGACTAACGAACAGCAATTCATTTTTATATATATATAGATAGATTAAGTTTTTCTTTCTTTTAGTAGATATACTATACATACAGAAAAAGTTATTAAAATTGTTATTGCAGAAGATTTAAGATGGAGCAGGTGTTTTTTGTAGGTCCGTGTAAACATGAATTTAGATTTAGTATTATCTGAAAGTAGACAGGACTGCTCTGTAGGTACCTATGCACCTACAAGAAAAGAATTTCTACTTTTGTCGAGATTTTGATCTGGAGACAAAAATGTCGGATTAGCAAGCGTGTGTTGTGTCCAGTTCAGAGCTAAACGCTCTTTCAGGACATCAGATAAGAAACGCTTGTTATGCCGAATAGGTAGACATTAAAATGTTGTACGCATAAATGTGGTGTAGTAGTGTTTACAGTCGAGAATTTAATAATGAGAATGAAAAACAAAAGCCGAGTGTAGTCTTTTCTATCTAATCAATTTTGAAAGTTAAAATAAAAACCGCAAAATTCACTAAAACAGTAGACAAATGCCTCATATGTAGATGTAGGAAAGATTCGTCCAAGATTTTCCAACATAGTAAAAGTTCCTTATTCACGGTTTCATTATTCGCGTTTTCATTATTCGAGGGTGAAAAAATTGCAACCCAGTTCATGTATTCGCGGCTAAATTTTCATTATTCGCGGATGCAATTGGTAAACAGAAAAGAATTCGGTGTCATTTATTAAAAGGATTGACCGCAATAGACCGCTCATGCCTAGTATAAATAGGTTTCTATTCTAAACATTGTGATTTAACGCTGCCAGATAAATATGTGATTTTTTTGTATGGTAACAGACAAAGGTTCACACTAAATCGGTACGTTTTTGGTTTTCAATAATATGGTCATCAAAAGCTTTTACAAGTGCTTAAAGTTGATGCTTCTTGTAGGAGCTTTATCTATCGTACTACAGAATTTTAAACCTCTGTTCCAAACATTAAACTGATAATATCTAGAACCGATAAGCATGTTTTTATCGGCAGCCTTTGAGTATGTACTGTTGGTACGTGCCGAGGCAATTTTTATAAACGATATAACCGAGTAAACAGAAAAGGATTCGGTCTTATTTTTCATCGTATCGGCATGTTTTAAGACTTTTATAAATGATGTAACCGAGTGGACTAATTTCAAAATTCAAAACAAGAAAATTTTTTAAACTTTACTTAAAGCTGATTATAATGATTAATTTTAATTACGAATTTACCAATACATTGATTTTATTTTGATATATATCGGTTTTATTTTGGAACCTTACAACGTATCGTCTTTGATTCCATACTAATTATCTTTCCATATCCACGGTTTCTGTATTCGCGGCATATTTATGGAACGTATGCCCCGCGAATAAAGAGCTTTTACTGTATTATAGTAATATGACTAGTGACCATATTTTTTTCTTGTCAAAGCGGGACGTCCGTTGTAAAAACAAATTGTTTTTTATTAAAAAAAGGTTTTTATTAAAGAGTACGTTACATTATTTCTAGTTAGGCTGTATTTTATTTTGTTTTTTTTTTGTTATTTGTTGGCTGAACAAATCTTTTTTGAAGCCTCTGGTTTCGTTTTTAGGTACGAATAGACCTCAGTACACGATTTATTTATGTTAATCTTTGTAATCAAAATGGTTTTCAATACTGAAACGCTCAACTGTCTTTTTTTACTCGTCCGTATTTTGTTCATTTGAGAAAAGAGTCTTTCGATAGGTGCGTTACTTCCAGACAGACACAAGACGTACTCAAAATTATAGAAAAGTTGGTTAAGTGGATATTGTTTGTAAGGAAGTACTGGAATAATTCCACTCAACGATTTTCAGCAATCAAATTCTCAGCATTCCAGCTAATGATTTTTTGGTCTGTTGTAAAGCTAGAAATAAGCGAAAACGCGTCGAAAATTTTGGTGTCCTGATTTTTACAAATAAATTCTTGCGCTTGGCATAAATGTAAATTAAATTATCATTTGGTCTGTTTGCGAAAGCGGGACTTTTATGTCATCGCTAGGGACAGCGGGACGGACAGCCTGAAAGCGGGACGTATGGTCACCTTAAGTATGACTAATGCCTGGTTTGTCACTTCGTCCCAATCTTGAATGGCAAGCTTTGGTCCACGACAGGACAGCCAATACGAATACTAATAAACAACAATTATTACAATGATGTTTTTTTTTTTGCAAAATTATTAATTTTTATAACACCAACAAGTTGGATAATAAAACACTTCACTTCTATTTTATTTTTCGAAAGAATAATCAAAAATAGTTTTAATGAAATTTTCTGGTAATTTTTGTATTTTTAATGCAAATAATAAACATAATAATTACATTTTATATATTTTTGTATGACATTCATATTGTAATGAGTAAAAACTGTTAGTTGCGGCTTCACTCACGTTGATGTCCTGAATACGTGTTAAAGGTCATCGATAATAAATAGTCCTGACTAGGATCATCAGGATAAAAGTAGTGTCCTATTTTTTCAGTTAAAGATACACTTTCTGCACAAAATAATGAAGTTGCGTGAGAATTAGCATTATTTTTTATGAGTCAAGGAAGCTCATAGTTAATTTCGAATTTGCAACTCTGCGAGACGAGTTATCATATGCATGTAGGTAGTTTTGAGTGATTGTTTCTAGTAGGCTGAGTACAATGATCCTGATATTAGAAAAAAATTTACCGTAAAATTGTTGAATTGACTGACAGAATTAAGAATGAGGCTAAAATCCATAGTTTACTTGAATGTCTCCAATCTGTATCTGGGAGTACATACATATACATAGTACCTAAATAGCGGAACTCATTTCAGAAACTACACTGGATATAAGTTAATCCCCCCTTCCAAAAATTGTGTCTGGATACTGCCCCTGCTGATAAAGATCTTTTTTTGTGTTTTGTGTACCAATCTAGTTCTCCGAGAGATCGTAAATTATTTGTTGATAATTCTGATACTCATCATCATCACCATCATCAACATAAGGTAGTCAGTCCTAAGACTGGTTAGACACGCACCTTCACTCCTTCCTATCCTGAGCTAATCTTCCCATTTCCCTAAAACTAGAACATCCCACATTGTTAATTATTTGTAAACAGTAATCTCATTTAGGTTTGCCTCTACTCTTCTTGGTAAAGGTCTAGATCAGGCCTTCTTAAACTATGGGTCGCGACCCCAAATGTTACCTAATAAATAAACCATCAAAAAATATTTATTTATCTTTCTTTCATATTTATATGGGGTTGCCAGGAAACTTGCTATCATAAATGGGGTCGTGAATGAAAAAAGTTTAAGAAGCCCTGGTCTAGATGATCGAAGGAGGAAGTCTTCCCCACCACTGTACCATAAAAAATTCGTGGTGGTCTCACCCCCATAAAAAGTTATGGGGGTTCAAAATTAATAAATATGCCAATTTTTATACATTTCTAAGCATGCAAATATTTATATAGTCATTCTTAAACAATATTCAAAGGTAAAACTAATGGAAAAATACATAAAAATATTGAGAAAGTTATATAAAACATTATTTAAATATCTTTATCAATAGGTTAGGTTAGGTTAGGTTATCCGGTTTTGTTCAAGTGACCACCCTCTTTCGTTCCCCCACCTCCACCCTATTGAATTTTATTTGAATTATAGTGTATTAAAATTGACAAAATAATCAGCT